ACTTGATGACACCTGACAACTGACAACATAACAGCACCACCGTGCAACTCCCATAAAATACCTTTATTCCCTACTTGAAATACACATTTACATAATACAAAATATGCAATACAAACTTTAGAATAGATGAGACCATGACTGAACTCATGCTTTATTTGTCTCCTTGACCTTGTAGCCTTGTATCAAATGCCAACTTAGAACATCTGATTTTTAAGATTTTGTACCTGCATTTTAATAATATAATAATTATGATAACATTTGTGATGATTTTATACATAAAGTGGTATTAATTGAGGAAGAGAATTTGAGGAGGAAATGTTAGCTTGTTGAGAAACTTCCATAGGAAACAATGATGTTAGAATAGTTAATTCTGAGGTAAACTCTTTAAACAATGAATGAAGGGTATGTAATCTGACGGTGGCCTGGAAGACAGTTTTCCAATTATTTGATGAAAATGTGCTATTTATTAAGCTACATTTTTTCTCTATATTTTAACTGAAATACATTGTTTTAAGACAAGTGGAGCTGAAGGTTGTTGTTGTTGTTATGTGCCGTGAGTAGCCACAAGGAATTGACAAAAATTTGCAATCTGAGAAAAAGGGACCTAAACTAAGGAAAAGCCATGGGACTATCCACAGGTACCTATGGTTCTAACTAAATACTATTCCAATCAAACCTGTGTATTTTACCATTACTCCCTCTTCTTTTCAAATATGTTTTTGGTAAATTTTTGGATTTTGTTCCCTGCAACATCATTTAAAATAAGTAAAATGTTATTATTTGTCCTATGTCTTGGTCAGCTTTCTTTTTAGCTATTCAATAAACTCCCTCATTTGGCATTTTTGTTTGTTTTTCTAGGCAGGCAAATTTGAGGGTAGGAATATCAGGGAAAAAAAGTAGACAAAAAGTCTAAATATGCTTTAATGTTCTTGTATATAGAATCTTTTTAAATTTGAGAACAATATTTGCCATTGATAAGAATCTTTTATTGAAAATGAGTTTTAAAAATGGACTAATCTAAGATTTCTAAATGAATTTGTATGTTAATGTATATAGGACTTTTAAAAGCAAAAGACATTTAAATAATTCTTGAACAACTTTCTAGTACTCATTATCAGGGATTGTGTAATCAGTATAGGAGATTGTGATATTGTTGTTGTTAATGTTGTTAGTTGCCTTCGAGTAAATTCTGACTCACAGCAACCTTATATACAACAGAACGAGACACTGGCTGGTCCTGTGTCATCCTCACAGTCATTTTTATGCTTAAGTCCATTGCTGCTGTCACTGTGCCAATTCATCATTTTTGGAGTCTTCATCTTTTTTGCTGACCTTCCACCTTACTGGACCCTCTGGATAATATTTGTCTGAATTATGAAAATCAAACTCTTGCCATCCAGTGTTCTAAGGAGCATTCTGGCTGTACTTCTCTCAAGGCAGATTTTTTCTGTTTTTGTTGTTCTTCTGGCAGCCCATAATGCAATTAAAATTCCTCTCTAAAACCATAACTCAAATGTATCAATTCTTATACCATCTTTCTTATTCATTGTCCAGCTTTCACATGTGTATGAGGCTATTGAAAATAAGATGGCTTGGATCACATGTATCACTGATATTTTTTCAAATGATATATAAAGTAAAATATCAGACTGCATCTGCCATTTTGAGAAACTTTTCATTTCCTTGCAGATTTTTATATAGAAATACATGGTACCGGTCACCATCAAAGCAGTTTGAATGATACTGACGTGGTGCAGTGGTGAGGCAGAAAGAACAGAGTTGTTTTTGTCCTTTCTGTAGCTCTCTCTTGTCTGTTTCAAGCCTTCTTCTATAGCCTTATAAATCTTCTCATTATGGACCCATCATTTTCCTTTATGCTGTCTGCAGAAAAATAAAGATAGATGTAACAAGCATCCTTTATATCCACCACTTAGCATTGTCAAATCTTAACATTTTGCCCCATTTAAATTTTTTTTTTTTAAGAAATAAAATATTACAGATCCATCCAGTTGAATTATTTTGTTTCTATCTGGGATTAAATATACTTTAAAAGTAACCATTACATTAATGACATTCTTTAATGATTATTTTTATATTTTTTGTCCTTTTTCTACATAAACTTATTTTCATAGTAAATATGTACTATTAAATCATTTTGTAAATTTTACATAAAATGGTTTCATATATTTTATTTCTTCAATGTGACATATTTGCCTCAAGATAATTTTTTTATATTCATACATGTTTATATATAACATCAGATCATTCATATTGAATATCCTATTGCATTGCTATAATATTGCTTTATTAGACTACAATGCATATTATGTATTCTCCTGTTAATATATATTGTTTTTCCAAGATTTTTGTTGTTAATGCTAAAATCATCATTCTTGTCTATGTTATCCTATGTATATTTTTGAGACTTTCTCAAGATATAAAATTAGCAACAGAATTTCTGGATTAAGCAAGTATTCTGCAGTGCAAAGTATTTACAAATGTCTGTTGAAAATGTACCGACTTAGAATTCTACCAGCAGTATTGTGTCATAGATCCACACCTTCTGTATGTTAAAAATTTTCAGGTTCAATGCGTCTTGTTATTAAGGGTTGTTTAATCAGTTCTGGCTCATAGCAACCCTATGTAGGGTTTCCAATGATAGGTTGCTGGGTTCGAACTGCTGACTGTGCAGTTAGTAGTTCAGTGCTTATCTTACAGTGCCACACTAGGCTCAATACTCGGTATAAGGTAAATATACATAAATGTATATTATCAGGCTAACAAAAGAAAAATAATAATAAGGCTACTTATTTTGACTAGTACAACAGCTATGAACTGGTATTTTAATGTTTTCATACTTACAAGTATAGTTTAGCAGGTTTTTTGTTTACTTCTAATTTTTTTTCTTTAAGTCCATTTAAGTTTTCTTATGTTTTTTAGGTTGTTACTTTTATTATTTAATTTTGTGAGGTTTCTCTTAATGCATCTATCTTGGGTGGTAAGCATTTGTTGATTTTACCCATTGAAAATATATGCTGTATTAATGGCATGTTTTTTTACTTACGTGGTATATAATGTAGGAATCTAAATAAACTTCAAAACAAACCATGATACATATTAGAGAGAGCTGGTTCTTACCTCACTCTTTGAATTAATTTTATTCTTCTTGTTCTTATATTTGTCGTGTGGTATTTAAAATTAGTTTATCGAATTCCATGAAAAGTCTTAATGCAATTTTAGATTAATTTTCTAAGGACTGCAATTTACAGAATAAGATTTTTTTTGGACACTAGTCTTCTTACTTATTTAAGATAATTTTATTCTTTTCAAAAATACTTAATAATTTTTATAAAGGTCTTGAAAATCTTTGTTAAACTTATTCTTAGTTTTCCTATAGTTTTGGTAACTCTTTGTAGTTGTTAGGTGCCACTCAGTCATCTCCTACTCATAGTGACACTACGTACAGTATAAGAAAACATTGCTCAGGACCTGTGCCATACTTCACAATTGTTGCCACATTTGAGCCCGTTGCTGCAAACATTGTATCAAACCATCTGGGTGAGGGTATTATTTCAAAATTATATTTTAAAATTAATTGTGGTTGCTCCCTTCTTGATACCTGTGGGAATGAAATCGTGTATTCTATAATGCATCAGAATTCTGCAGAAACAAAAAACTTTAGGCAAATGGAAATTACTAATCTTATTTTCAGAAAAATAATTAAGAACAAATACAATTAACATCAGAGAAATGTTAACTTAAATGATTTTTAAAAGCATATTTATTTGGCTATTTTGATGTTGTTGTTAAACATCATTGAGTCAGTTCTGACTCATAGCAAGCCTGTATATTGTTTCTGAGGAGAGGATGGTGGGCTTAAACCGCTGACCTGTGATTCAAGCCAACCTTGCAATCCAGCGTTTTACCCCACAGCATCACACCAGGACTCCTGGATATGTTGTTAGATGCTGACAAATTGGTTTTAACTCATAGCTAACCTGTGCACAAGAACAAAATAGTGTCCAGTACTGTACCTTCCTCACAATTGTTATGCTTGAGCCCATTGTTGTTGCCACAAAGTCAACCCATCTTACTGGAATTCTTTCTCATTTTGCTGATAGTGAGGCAGAACAGTATAGAGTTACTTTAGTCCTTACCGTAGCTCTCTGTGTTTCAATTCTTCTTCTGCAGTCTTATAAATCTGCTCATTGTGAATCCATCATTTCCCCCTAACTTTTGAGTCCACAGGGTGTGTAGAGAAGCTAGAACAGTATATCTTGCAGAATCAATGACACTACCCTGACCTCAGATGCATTCTGACGTTAAGGAGACTAGACATTGTGATATCTGGAGTGTCTTAAGAAAGCAGCATTTGAAAAATGCTAAGCCCTTCTCCATATTTCCATATCATGATTCTTTCTCATACAGATCATCCTCATTATCATAATAATACATATCATGTGAAAATTTGAGGACATTGAAGGTACAGATGAAAAAGATGAGTCTGGAAATGTCACATGTATGTTTTTCCATTGAAAGTATTTAATATAACATACAAGGGTAAGTCAAGTATTAATGCTACTGTGGTTCCAGTTCACACATACATGGATTTATTCCAAAACAGAGCATGTTGGAGCATGTCTCTGGAATCACTGGATAGTTTCAGACAAGTTCTCTCAACTGTGCACTTGTCTTACTCTCATTGTTGTTGTTGTTGTTAAGTGCCATTGAGTTGGTTCTGACCCATAGCGACCCTGAACAGGGTTTTTGAGGCTGTAAATCTTTATGGGAACAGATAGCCTCATCTTTATCCCAATAGTTTCGAACTGCTGACCTGTGGTTTGCAGCCCAATTTGTAACAACTATGCTACCAGAGCTCCTTTTACTCTCATTAGGGTGCATTTAAAAAGCATCCCAATCAAAACAGTGGCCTCTACTGGGTCAGTTCTGTTCAAATTAGGCAGGTCAGCTCAAAAGGTTATGCAGATTGTAATATGAATTTCCAAAGTAGAAATCTTGATAGATATTTCTCAAACTATACAGAAAAAACATCAGGGCTAATTATGAACAGGCTTTAATAAAATTGAAAACTTCATTGGTGGGAAGAAGGCCAGAAAAGTTACTCTGAGGAACTTATATGAATGAATAAGATTGCATTATGTATATTCAGCATATCTATCTCTCTAAGCCTTTCCTGAAAAATTCTGCACCTTTGATTTACATTACATGAAAACAGCAGTTTTGGCATCTTCGAGGAACTCAAATCTTGTTCCTTTACAATGTTCGTTGAGTATTGGAAACAAAAAGAAGTCTAAAAGAGGAAACTCAGGGCTGTGGAGTAGATGAAGTTAGATTTCCCAATGAAATTCTCTAGAACAGTCCTTCCCAACCTTGATAAGTGATGTGATGGAGAAAATAAAATTTACTCATTATAGATAATAGACAGTATATGCTTGCATGTTTGTGTGTCATGGGGAGATAAGTGCTAATATTAGTAGAACTATCAGGAAAGATCACTTATTATAGTAATCACCTGTATTTTATAAATAAGTGAGCCCCAAAATTATATGATGGTAGGGAAAGAGTTGTCTAAGAAAAGATTTCACATAGTACAAAGTGTTGAGATAAAAACAAGTTTGACATATCTGGAACATAGTAAACTAAAGAGGAAGAGGGAAGAGCCTGTATTAAGAATAGACAGAAAATGGGAAGGTAGACTCTTTCAGACCAATTTTTCTCAAGCTTTAAACAGGTATCTTGTAAAAATGTGAATTCTGGTTAAGGAGATCTAGCGTGGGCATAAAGGAGCCAAGGTGATGCAGTGGCTAAAGCCCCCAGTGGTTTGATGGTTTGGCGGTTTGAACTCATAAGCTG